GAGAGGGGAGGGGTTGAAGCTGGGGAGGATGATGTAAAGAATTTCATCTGAAGAAAACAGGCGAGCAGCCTGGGTGCTGGAGGAATCACTCCGTCTCCCCTGACCTCCGCTCTCAGGCCTGTCTGGGTCATGATGAAGGAGCTTCGGCCGGCCAGCGTGAGCACCCTGGGGGTCCATTCCCTAGGGCTGGCTGACTCCTTCCACCAGATACCCATCAACACCCTGAAGGGAGTCACCACTGAGACAGCAGCCCCTCCCCTGGGCGGAATCCCCCTTCCCCAGAGGACCACACTGAGGACCCTACTGGCTGAGGAGGTGAGGGGGGGTGGTCCCAAGGGCCAGCCGGGTGCACGGCGGCAAGGACAGGCTGCCGGGTGTATGTGCCCCAAGAAGGATCCTCTTCTAGGCCTTGACTTCCAGCTGCAGCCCCCGCCTTTTCATCCCGCTAGCTGCGTTCACCATAGACAGTGTGACCCAAACTGCACCTGCTGGGCAGTGGGGACTGACGGCCCCAGGCTGGGACCTAAACAGAAAGGAGTCACCCCAGAAAGCTGGGAGCACTCCAGCTCTAGGATGTAAACACTGGAGAACAGAGTAAATCTATATCCTGGCCAAGTCTCTCTTCACCAACCACACGATTTCGTCTTGGCCCTCGATTTGGGGGCCCAGCCCTCACCCAGATGTAAGGTTGAGAGGAAGAGAAATCCTCTGTCCTCGTATTTATAAACATTTCCTAGCAGTGCTTGAGGGGGAAGAGGGGAAGGCACTAACTTTAGAATGGAGAATTTCCAGAGGAGAGGTTGGGAAGTCAGGGATGGGTGGGGAGGGAGGTCTGTTCCCGAGGAACAGTCAAATCGAGCCTCATTTTCCTCGCAGAGCATTATCTGTCTCGATAATGGACATCCGTTTGGTGTGCAACGTCTCAGGACTTACTGATGTGGAAGACACACAGCCACACACGATCTTTATCTAAATGAATTCCACCTCTTAGTTTCCAGACCTAAGAAGGGCCTAAGAAGCTCTGATGTGGGAGGTGGGAGCACAGATTTGATGCCCATGGATGGTGGTCTGGATGGCCATTCTGACCAGGGTCATGCCAAAGATGTGCCCAGTGCCCCTGATGTGGCCTGGGTCCCCTGGCAGGGAGCCAGGCAGTACATAGCTTCCCGGATAATGTTTGCCCCGAACAAGGAGATGCGGTGTGAAAGTTTAAGGACAAGATACCCTAATACACTAATGTCTGAGTAGTCAAGGGTGTGTGTGGAGTGGCTCTTTCCATGCAGAAAGAAAAGAGACCTCATGTGCGGCTGGGGTATATAGCTCCCTAGGGTACAGCATCAGGTTTTTAGGGTTCCTAAAGCTGAACAGGGACTGAGAGGCTACAGAAGGGCAGCAGACGATCTCTGAACCTGACCGTGCGTGCTGTGGCTAGAGGCCCAGGGCCACTTTGGACATTCGGTTTCCCACCTGCTCCTTCCTTCTCACATTCCTCCACTAGCACTGGTAGAGGCTGGCAATTCCAGGTTTGCTGGATGCGACACCTGTGAACTTCATGTGTCCTGTGCTGAGCTCGGGTAAGCTCAACGTTCACCACTGTGCACAGCCTTCCTTGGGTTCTTCCTTGTCAACTTACTTCCAGCACCCTGTGAGTTGCCCTAGCATAGAGCGGATGGGTGGACAGCCTGCTTTGCTTCAGCTCATAGCAATTCAACCTTGTCCCGCACTGCCCCATACATGAATATCTCTCCCTTTCCAATGACCTTCCGTCCACTGCCATCCATTCTTCGGCCCCCTGGCCAGGTGCCCAGTGGAGAGCTCGTGCCCAATGTGCCAAGAAGTCCAGCAGGCACTCACTCTAGAGCTGCCCACGGGTCTGCCTGGCAGGCCTCTACCGTCCTGCTTCTTCCTTCTTGCAGCTGTAACTGTTCTGTTCCCATGCTCTTCCTGGTTGCAACTCCAGCCCTCGGGAAGGACAGATGTGCTCTTCCTGGCACAGAGAAGTTGAGGCCTTCAGAGAGACCCCGGTACAGCAGAACTTAGCTAACTCCACACAGAACCAGTCTGTCTGACCAGGGCCCCAAGCTGTGGCTCACTCACTGGCTACCCAGAGCCACACCCAGAACTCTACCCTCCCTGAGCCTGAGCTCTCTCTGGGGCCAAGCAGCACTGCTGTTTTCTGGGGTTCCTTCCAGGACAGTGGTTTTCTCACTTTTATTTTTAAAGATGTGAAATTCCTTCATCACGTAAGTAAAACAGACCAAAGGAGAATTACTCTTGCTGAAAGACAGAAGACAGACCTGTAGCCCTTTCACCCTTCTCCCTGCCCCCCCACCAACACTGCCTAAAATCCCTATGCCCTGGGGCTCTACCACACCCAGCCTGGGGTCCTCCGCTCTAACCTGACAGCAAGGGAGCCAGCTCGCTGGCCTCAGGCTCTCTCTCTCTCTCTCCTTCCTCTCCCAACTGAGGAAGACTGGAGACCCAAGTCTAATTTCAAGAGTGCCTTGTTGGAGATATTCCCTGTTCACTTGGAGAGTGACTCACAGTTCTGCAGCCATAAAATTTCACAGATGGCATCTTTTTGGTGTTCTGGTCACTTTGAAACAGCAGACTGGGTAGCTGTGTGATTGCTCTGTAAATCCCTAGATTTGATTTGGGGACTCCTTGCTCATACAACTTGCTTGTAGTCCACATGATATGCAGAACGGGACCAAAGGCTGCTTGTCCTTCCTTAAGTCATATGCTAGAAATAATATCTTCATAGTCATCACCAGAGAGCCCTGGGGGGCTGTGAGTAGTCACATTCTTTGTTGTTTCCTGCTCCAGTAGGCTGCACACTGGCTCTACAATCTCTGTGTTGTCATCTGCTTCTGAGTAACAGAATGTCACCCAAGGACAGTAACCTGGGTTCCAGATTCTCCAGGAAAGTAACTGGTGGCCTGGACTACCTCCTTACTGACTACTGAGTGAAAAATCCCCAGGGCGTTAGAAAGTTTGGGTAATCGTATCTTCACCTTCCATCCCTCATGTTAAAATTTAGCATTTCCTGATTCACCATTGGCTATAGGCCCATATACTGGAACATTTTGTTTCCTGGATGAAGTCATGTCCTAAAGGTCTATCCATAAACTCTGACAATAGCAATCCCCATGGGAATGCTTATGAGCGATCAAGAGAAACAGACCATCAGAAAAAGAGCCTGGAGAGGCAAGCCATCAGAGAAAGATTTGGGTCTCTAAAAACTCCATCAAATTAAGAATAAACACTCCATATGTAACTGTAAAGCAAAAAAAGAATAAGTCTCAGAGCCAAAGGCCAGCCTCCTCCTCTAGGATCAGCAGTAGTGATGAGTCTTTACAAAGTCAGAACCAGCTGATGTTCAGGGTTCCTATAACCCGAGTAAAAACCCAACCGAATCCTGTTATAACTAGCCCTGAGAAACCAAGATTTCCAGAGTCTTGAACACATGAAACCGTTGAGATTTTTGCAAAATAGAGGCTTAGTAAAGCTACATATTCTTCATTGAAGGAACAAGTACTGAAGAGAGAACCATTTGCCCCTTTACCAAAATTCCTCTAAGTGTAAAGAGACTGACCAAATGTCCCAACTAATGTCCCAAAGACAAATGCCTTCTTAAGAGGACTGATCCACCCCTCTTTTCCATGCACGATGAAGACTGGACTATTCACAGCAATTGTGGGTGCTTCAAGGCACGATGACTTTGATACACTTCATACCCCATCTGGTGATAAGCACACTTTGATTTTCTCATGCCCTAGTGTCTCTGAGGAGACACAGACTTTGTGGCACTATTTCCCTAATTAGAAGAGATACTGGTTAAAGCAAATGAAAACCCCCTCCACCGCCACTAATACCTACGTAATTGTCGTAATTACTAAGGCGCATGTTGACAAACTCAGTCTCGTGGCGGTCTTGACTGTTTATATAATTTTGGGTGTATATGTGACAGGTTCAAACAAAGCACTTAAGGAGGCCTTTTAGAGCAAGTGATGGGTATAGCATGATCCTAACAGTAGTCCTGATGTCTGTTCTTTCAGTTTGACTCCTGGAGAGCTAGCGCCTTAACCCATGATCCCTGTTCCCCTGCTCTTTGCAGAACAAACTGGAGCTTTGAGCTCTCCATGGTGCTAACCCCCCACAAGCCACCCCAGGCCCTTCTTGCTGCTCTCCGTGGTCCTGCTCTCCCTCCACCCGTCATGACCTCCACTCTCTAAGGTGCAGCTCCTTCCCTCCCCCACCAGGAGCACACACGTGAACCTGGCTATGATCCCTGACCTGCTCGACTAGAAAGAGGGGAGCAAGCCTTGAGATATAGATATGAAAGGTCCTCACAACCGTCTATACAGCTGTAGGAAGGGCACAGAACGAGCAAGTAATACTGAGGTTGAGAAGATGTGCTGTTTGAAATGCTCAGGAGACCAGGGCCTACAGTGACCTCAGATGGCCTCCAAAGAACTGGATGTTCCGCCATAAATGGAGTCACAAATTAAAAACAGAACTACACATAGTTATGCTTGAGATTGAGATGGTATTGCTCATAATCTGGTGTACCACATATACCCTATAAATGTGGGATGCAAAATGAGCCCTACTCAATTTGTTAAGTACGCCCTTCTTAGCCTGATGACCAACACAAACTGTCCTTTCATGGTGCTAATTTTCTCTTTTCCTTCAACCTTAGCAGTAAATATAAAGATAATACACACTCATGGGTTATCCAAGTAGATAACAGAGGAATTTAATATATGAGACACATCGGAAACAAATATCAAAACCCTGACTCACGCCCCCCCCCCCATCTTTACAACCATCTTGTACAGAACTAAATGGCTTTAAATGCAACCATCCTATCCCAGAGCCCAAGTCCTTGGCTGAATCTCAGGAAGCGCATCTTTAAACTGGACTCTGCTACTCTTTCGGGGTATCTGCCAATAAGCCGATGACGTCAAATGCGGCAAGGAGCCGAGAATGCTCAGCCCCTGCCAGTCTGAGACTAGACAGCCTGTTCCTCCCATAACATCAGAACTACACACGCCGATCTTCCCCTAAATGCTGATTTCCCCGTATCAATTTCTTAGTCATAGTTCATATAAGAGTTAACACTTGTGAATGACCTCCAGCAGAATCCAGTTGGGGGGCAGGCTTCCAAGATGAATCTCCAGGGCCCTTCTTCCATTTCCTCCTGTGAAACAAGGAGAAACTTCGTTCCTCAAGGACAGGTAATGGAAGTGATTTATCTCCATGAGCGAGCCTTCAGGAAGACAGACTTTGGGTTACAGTAACAGCTGGAGTAT